TATATATATATATATATATATATATATATATATATATATATACATATCAATTTATATACCGATTAATAAAACAATTATTTGGTCACACAAAAATATTAAGCAATAAAGCGTGTACAATGGTTAAAAGTGTTTCCTAAACTTGTTAAATTACTTACGTTACATTAAGATAACCATATCAGTTCACCACATAATTTTATAACAAAATCACAAAATCGTAAATAGGAAACATTAATTAAAGATAACACATACACATGCATTACACCAAAATTACGTCATTCACATTATGCTAAAAATTCAACGTATATCGCGTTGTTACTCATAAAACACTTTTGCGATTGTAAGATAATGTGGTACGTGCAGCAAATATTTAGTATTTTCATATGCAATCATCCTTTATGAAAATATACGCCTCTACGATATAATATTTATATGTTAATAGTTAATTACTTTTATTAAATAATTAGCGCGATATATTACTATTTATAAAAAAATTGATTTACCACATTATTATATTTTATCACCACGGTTATATATCACGAATCAAATTGATAACACAATGTTGATATACAAAAATAATCTATTCGCCCACATTCGAATGTCACGGATGTTCATCGCGATAATGCATTTCTCACGGTCTCCTACGAAGATACTCGGTGAACTGCACGTGGCAGGGGAGTTTAAAGACCCTTAGAAGCATCAGCGAAACCTGGCAGCAACTCGCTTCACGCAGGGAAACACGCGTGGATGAGTCATCCCAGTAAATAGTAGCTTAAAGCAACACGCCCGCGCTCGTACAGGGCCGAGTAAACAACAAAAAGTAGTGTTTACGCGATGCTTTCACTTGTCTCACACAATAGTTTTTATCGATAACATAGATTACGGAACAGTAAACGACAATTTAAAAAAATTGATTTCATTAAGTAATTTCAAACGTGAAAGTAGTTTAGAAACAAATATTCCTAAAATACTTTCTAAACTTCTGTACCTAAAACTATAGCTTATAAAACGCATGTTTTGACAGGCAATAAAAGAATAAAAAAAATTACATTGTATGTTTTTTTAGCTGTAATGCTGCATATTATAGAAAGGATAATTGCTACGTAAATCTAAATATTTGTTATGTACTTTATAGTAACAGTCGTATATACTTGTTATTCGGCCCTGCATGAGCGAAAACTACGTGCGCCGCGTGCATGTGTGCGCGACACTCTTGCGTACACGTTGGATTTCCTGCACGCACCGGACCTGAACGCAGGAGGGTTCACGACTCCGTGATTCGATATGCCTTTTGTGTCTATTCTCTCGAAAACAATACTTTCAACCTGCCGTATAAGTGAACGGTACTTTCATTGTCACGACGTGTCGAATAATCTTCTTGGGTTTAACTCTGAATTTTACGACAACGCAAGTGCAAATAACGTAAACTTTTATTCGATCATTTCAACGAATTACTACAATTTATTTCGCATACAGAAAAATTACATATGTTCTTAATAATTGCAAATTTGTCCACTATGAGAGAATTTTTGTTAGAAATTAAAATATACAAGTATCGATTACATACATTTTTAATCCTTTTCTATTATTAATGATTTCATTGATTAGCGTAAAGGAGTCATTAAAGCCATAATAGAAGTCAAGAAGAAAGAAAGCATCGCAAATTTATAATTTCGTGACGTCTTTGATCCACTTTAAATAATGTGATACATTGGCATACACACCAGGTACTTCTCCACAAGAATGACCAAAAGACACAATACCGTAAATTGTTTTTTTATCGGCCAATGCTCCTCCAGAGTCTCCGTAACAGGCATCCTTGCCTTCAGTTCCATAGCACAAATGAACATTTCGGACAAGCGTTGTGTACACCAAACTAGCTTTAACGCAGGTTTCAAACGGGATGTACTTAACGTGAACGCCCATGAGAGTTTCGGTTATTTTTTCCTATAAATTTATGTATTAAGACATATGCTTTATATTTTAACTATCAATAATAGGTCGATATCACTCCCAATAATTCTAAAATCAAAGTGACACATCTAAGAAATAATAATATCGTGAATAATAAAAAATACTCATGCAAATATCTTCTCTCTCTTAGATATCTACCTGTCGAATAAATTTTGTTTGCTTCCGGCTATTAAGTTACAGGAAAGGGTTACGTAAATAAAGGTATCGTAACATTTTTGGATACTACCAGCTCTAAACGTACTTACCTCTCTTCCAACTTTAGTGCATCCCCAACCACACACGAAGAGTTCACGCGGTAGTTCGTCGGTTAACCTTGGTAGATGGATCGGTCGAATGGTTCTTGAGAAGCGAAATAGTGGTTTCACTTCAAGAAGTGCGATATCGTGATGCGGTACTTGCGAATACCAGCCGACGTATGTGTCGTTGTACACGTAAATGTTTCTGACCCTGTGCACAGATCCGCCTCTGTCCCATCTATTGGATCCAGCCCGTACATAATACCTCAACCAGCGCAACGAACTTTTCAAAAATAATATGCAAAGCGTCAACATTGTAGAAAACAATCTTACACTGCTCAATATAGGGTGTCCGTTAAAGTAGAGTGATATATAATTATAATATTATAGATATGAATTTATTAAAGATTAAAGATATGAATAAAATACGTCAAAATGTTAAAATTACATGCAATGCAAGGCGGTAATGGCCCATTTTTTCGATAATATACTGGCACCGCACAAAGCCCCATTTGAACTGCGTAAAGAGAGCTGCAAATATCATCATTAAAAAAATATATAAATGAATAGATTGTCTAGATTGGCAAAGGTAATAAAAGTTTGATATTAACCATAAAAGGTCGATGTACGATGTCAACTGATTCTCCACCGATAATTTTCGGATGCACATTGTATGTTGCATTTCCGTCTACTTTATCAGACTGGAAGACTGAAATGTACAGAGTAAATGGTAAATAATGCTTGGCTAAGATTTGTACCAGTAATAATGAGAGAGCTATTTTTTACTTATTATTTTGATGTTATTGCGAGATAATGATACATAAGAGAACTTGGCAGCGAAAAAAATTAAGTAGCACTTATTTGTTCTATTTTTCAACAATATATAGAACGTGCATAGTTCTTCATACCAAGGAAATAGAGAATAACAACTGCTCCGTGCATTTTTCCCGACTGTGTCACAATACGATGTGAGCGGACATATGTAAAGTGCAACAATCCATTTCGCGCTGACTGTAAACGTCAGACGTCATATTTCGTGAACATCTAACCGAGACAAATGCTGATACTATCGTTGGTTACGCTATCATTCAAACGATGTCTAGATTGAATGTGATTTATGTAAGTGACGTAAGCGAAGTGATAATTTGAAATTTATCATTTCTTGTCACGACAAGTTGAATACTTATTAGTAACCGTAGGAATAAAAACACAAACTATGATAACATCATAGAAAAAATCTCTTTTTTTAGTATTAGAAGATTTATATATATTTCACATATAATATATGGAAACTTTACATATGTGTGTGTGTGTACGTCTTATCTCTATTTTAATAGAAATTACTTTATTAATTTTCCGACTTTAATAACATACATTTCTATTATATAAACTATGTAAAAGTTTCTTGTTACAAATACTAACAATATTTCTTACGATGTATTACAAGATGTATTATCTTTTAAGTTTTTTGAGATAGTGTTTACTAAATCATAAATTTTTTTCGCCATATCTATAGACATGTTTCCGGTAGAACTTATATTTTCTTTGTTATAAATATTTATGATATTTTCTTTGGGGGACTCCAAATATCATCGAAGAATCTTGTTTAATCTCATTCATGTCTGCAAAATCCGTAAAAAATATTGATCTACGATCACGTCCAGCTGAAACCCAGTCTTCCTTCGATTCTTCAAATTCGGATTCATTTTTAGGCTTTTGCAAACAGAACAACGTAGAGATAAAGCTAACAGTTTCCATGAACATAGTAACCAACAGTAAATTATTCGCGAGACACGCTAAAGTGTTTTTACTATTCCCGCTTCGCACACTGCTTACGTGATTCATTGCCTGTACTAATCTCTCGAACGCATCATCGGTTTCCTTTCTTATATCTGCAATAATACAATTAGAAATATAACTCTTATTGTACGAATTGTTAATTAATACTTCTGTGAACTTCAAGTCGCAATTCTATCTTAAAGATAAAAAAAATATTATTTTTTAAAACTACTTTAACGTATAAACGCATATAAAACATATTCTTTCGACAAGTTTAAGACAATCGAAGCTATGAAATTTATAATTGATATAGCAAAAAATGTTGTATATATATATATATATATATATATATATATATATATATAGAATAATAATAAGACAAATACTAACAATATTTCTTACGATGTATTACAAGATGTATTATCTTTCTATTGTTGTCGTGAGAATAGTCACTCGTCTCTCTGCTGGCTGAATCTGTCATGTTAATTAGCGGAACATTGGTAGGAATTGACATATCGACGTCCGTGTCATTTAACTCTGTGTATCCAAATAATTCCATGAGTTTAGTCATATATTCAAACAAGCTTTCTAAGATTTTAATGTGATATTGCCATGTCTCCTTGAAAGAATTTTCGATACCGCGAATAATGAATCTTTGTGTTTCTAAAGCTGAACGATGAAAGTTGCCAATAGCGAGCATAGTTTTCTTTAATACTCCAATTTTATATAAATTCAGTGAATGATGTATCTTTTTGTATCTGAAAGTACAAATACGTATCTATATGTAAATTTATCAGTTACAAACCTAAGAAAGAGAATTTCTAGCTAAAAAAAATATTAGTAGCGAATTTTTCGAATACATTAAGAAATTAAACAATCAGGTTTATGTAATTTATTTGATATATGTCATATTTTATCTAAATGATGTATAGTATGCTATATTGCAGATATAGAAATGTGCTTCTGTAATATAACGCTTGATACAGATAGACTAATTGAGCTAAACTCTTGAGCTCGTTCGGATTGTGTTCGCTCAGTTCATTCATGTCAACTATTATCATACTTACACTTCTTGTATAAACCACTGCGAATCATTCTTACCTGATAACTACTTTGCTATTATTAAGAGCTTGCCTCGAAATTTTATTCAATCTTTTACGGCCTTCTCGATAAATCTCAAAATACTGGCACACATCGTACGTTAATTGTCTTCCCCATCTTCTCCTGGAGAGCACATTTCCGAGTTCGTTCGCAGCATGATGAAGAGGTGACCGTCGAGATATTCGGCGGTCTAGAATGTTCTCGTAAATATACTTCACTCGCTGCACCGTCGTTCGCGGCACTCTTCGACCGAAATTGCAGCGGACGTTCGCGCTGCGGTCCGCATCGATATAAATCTTGCAGCTACTTAGATCTTCGATAGCAGTCAACCATGGTTTAATGGAAAGAGTATGATTGACCATTATTCTGTTCGAGCCTCGTCTGATTGATGACATGCAAGCTTCGACACGTCGCAATTCCTTGACGCATTTGTCGTAATTACTGCTTTCTTCGGTTAGTGAATGACAAAGCAGCGCGTGCAACTGTTTACCAGACGTCTCATTACTTGGCGCATAACGAACAAAAGCTCGATCTAAGCCAGTTTTCAATGTTTGTGCTACGTTATCCGGTGGAACTTTCACTAAATTCGCGAAAGCTCGATTAAAATCGAAAGATGATGCTCGCTGATAATGCTTCCCGTTTGTTATCGGTAGTAAACATTTGAAAAACTTTTCGTTGAATCTAGATGCATCATTTATAGTACTTAGAAACCTGAAGCTTCTTGTGGCTTCACGTGATAATGATTCCTAAAATGAACCTCATTAGGTATAATATTTTATTAGATTACAAGAAAGAATCGCTTATGTCTGTCTTGAAAAGGCAATGTCCCATTATTCAATATTTGCTAACTTACTTTGTTCTTCTGTAAAGTCGCGTTATTTGTGTCAAAATAATGATTGATCATAAGCCACATCTCCTCTCCTACTTTGACGAGATCACACAGTAGGAGCGATCCTTGAAGCAGGCCCTCGGTAAACCAATCCTCCGAGATTGTGGAGTTCCACGGTATTTGCTCACGCTGACGAGTCGATGCGACTAGTCCACAGGCTCGCGCAAACTCCATAATTTTCGCTCGTATAGTCTCGCAGATTTCACTGATTGTCTTTTGCAAACTGTCTCCATTGGGAGATGACAATCTCAACGTTATCGTGACTGGTCCAATTAATTTCGCCAGAAAACCTTTTATCGTTGCTTCCATTCGCTGAATTTGCTTTGGATTTAATAAGACGAAAGTCCCAAAAGCCGATTCATCTTTTCGAGATGTTCGTAGGAATAAAGTTTCGTTTTGATAAATGCGATCCGGTTTCACGTAAAGCACAAACACTTCTATGATGAAGATTAATAGAGAAACAAAAAATTAAATAGATAATGAACTTAATTATCATCGTTGTGGAGTTAAGTGATACATATTTCGTATTTCGCTTACCAAAGCATAGAAACAATATAATCAATTTGCAGCTCATCTTGTAAGTTGAGCTAACTACGTTTTGTATATAATCAGTTCTCTGTTATACAGATTCCAGACGTAAGTCGCGAATTTTATACGAAATAGCGGCAAAATACTTCTTTTAAATCAGTTGAACTTATCTCATTGTAATCCATGCGTCGACATATATTGCAAAAGATGAAAAATTTATGCATATGTACAAGTAGACGTTAATAATACCTCGTAAATATAACAGCAACAGTGATAGTGTAAAATTTATGTTGAAAATTATCAAGCAATAATTATTATTTATTATTTTCGGAAAAAGAGAATATCTCGATGCAGAGACAATAGAGAACTAAGTAACATTTTTATGTTGTGACAAGAATGTTATTACGTTTTGCGATGTTGGAATGCATTCAGAGTAATATATGTGTATTATCGAGCAGAACGACTATCGACACGGCGCCTGCGTTCGAGCAATGCAACGATCGCAACGCCAGTCTCGACAGCAGCTTGCCAGGAATCAATTCCACCCAGGTACTGGTCTAAAATTAGCAATAGAGTGTTGCTGTATTGTTGTTGTTGTTGTTATTATTGTAGTGTCTATGATAAAATCTGGCTTAATATCTAAGTAGGATTGAAATTCATATCGACTGTCAATGTGTTTTCTTCTGTTATAATGAGAGTGATATTATAGATAACCTTTAAAATCGTCACATTTTCTATAATATGTGCTAGTTGCATCGAATATACCATTGTGTCAGTGTCATTTTATCAGTAGTAATTCTCACGAAAGAAGAATATCTGTCATATAAATGTTATTTGATTTATATTTCAAGAAATAGTCAAATTGAAATGTTTGCAATCAAATTTGATTCGATTTCACGTATGGCTAGCAAAATGATCATATGTATAACAGATGATATCATCGAAATGACATAATGAAATTCGCAAATGTTGAGTCACCCATACATTACGTGAGATACGCGGATGTTCATATTTAATTATCTGACATGACCAACTATGAGAGATATAAACCACGAATTAAATAAACTAAGTATCTCTTTTGTGCGTTAACATATAAATTCATAACGTTAACCGTAATTAATTTTTTTATTCTTTACAATTTTTTAAATACATACAGAAATGAAGTATAGAACCAATCTAATTAGAAAATAAAAATTCAGCGTTAATAAAAAAATTTATATCTTGTGTTAAATGATTATTTTAAATTTATTTGCGCCAAAAAATTAATTTTCTATACAGTATTGCTAATTTTAGTGAACATTATTATATTTTTCAAAAAATTAAACATGTCCAAAGATAAAAAATAAAATTATAATATTAATATTATTTAAATGTACTGAACTTATATATGATAAGATATGTTCAATGGGTAAAGAGAATCTCTAAGAGAAGGCTTCCTACGGCCTGATGTTAGGTGCCATCTACCGGGAGGTCAAAAAGTACTTGTTCCAATCCTCCATTCACGAGTAAGTGGAACGCTTACTAGTCGCACCTACACCGATCTTAGCTCCAGCCGGCATTATTTCGTTGCGAAACACATATAAATTCCTTCTACACGTCAGCTTAGTAACATGCGAAGAATATTTCTCCGAGTGCGCGATTGATATACGTATGCAATTCTCTGCAAGTGTCACACCGTTAACTATCAAATAGTCACGTGCCTAGGATAACGGTACGCGTCCTATAGAATATCGCTCAAGTGTCTTCTGATTCATTACCGGTGAGATCGAAGTGCAAAGATGGATGAAGAAACTATGTGGAAAAACTTTTATCACAAAATTGTAGAAGAGAAGCAAGCGAAAGAGAAGGAACAGTCGGAAAAGTCAGAACACGAAATAAGGTAAAGAAATGTCAAAATCTTATTTCGTAACATTGTTTTTTGGTCATTTCATTTTTTATAATTTGACAAAAAATATTGTAAAATGTTTGCGGTTAATTATTTATTAGTATATTTACTTATAAGAATAATTAATTCCGAATACATATTTTTACAACTTTTGATTAAAATATGTTAAAATTTTAAAACGCCTTAAACATAGTAACAAATATGTCGAGAAAAACAGGGAACTTCTTAAACAAGTAAATAATGTGAGTACAAAATTGTTAGTACAGCTTATTTTTAAACTATAGTAACAATATTATGTCGATAATACAATATTCTCTTTGTACAGCATATTATTAATATTGTTATTTAACAATTTTGTATTCTTTATTTCACAATCTCGTATTCTTTATTTGTTGGAGAGGTTCTGTTTTTTTCGACATATTTGTTAGTTATCTGTAAGTAGTATCAGTCTATCAGTCATCGAACTATCAAAATTGTATTATAATTTTTACTACAATATTCTCTCCGTGAAAAAAAAGAAAAGAAAAAAACTTCTATATACTGATTATATAAATATACACATTAAAAAATAATAACGCGTCGTTGATAATAATATCTAGAAAAAATAAGATGAGCTCACATACACATACAACACGATAAAAAAATATATATTTTTGACATAACATTAAAGAAGTCGGTAACGCTAAGCTCTACGCACATTAATAATTTCGCGACCGAACATAACGTCCCGTGATAAGTGAGGTGCGTGCTCTTAACAAATTGGCAAAACATTAAAGTTTACGTAGCCGGGCGCTCATGTAGGATCTATTAATAGAACGAGACCAACGTGATGCAGTTCGGAGGTGGGACTACACGTCGCGACTAAGTCCAAGCTGTATACATAATGCGTATGTAAAACTATATGTATACATACTATATATATATATATATATATACTGAGATCTGGTGCCCAAGGTCGGCGCGATGCTATATGATTCACAAGAACCTCACGACGTCTTTGTAAGAGATAATTAGCTGCAATCGTTAGCGTACGAAACCGTCCACCCATGACAAAACGTCAAATACAAGCTGATGTACTGTATTGACGTAAATATTACGTTATTAATACGTCATTAATACGCATACACTGTATTAACGTAATTACGTCATTAACACGCACTTTAAACTGTTTATTTCAATTATGTCGCAATATATGATTTGCCTGGAAATTGCAACTGAAAAGGATATAAGTTATATAACTTAAAAAAGAAGAAGGCACTTATTAATCAGAGTTACCTTGCGTTTATTTCTATTTTTGTTGTATCTTCCGCAATTATAATTTAACGGCACATCGTTGCAAAAATACCGCGTATATCACATTGAAATAGTCGAGAAAATCCCCGGTCTCTAAGTTTTCCTCATTGGATAAAACCGAAGTAACGGACGAAGGAAGGGAATGACGCCTTAGATCATCACTTTAGGTGAACGGCCCGAGACAATCATGGGTTTTCGCAACGTCAAAGCTCTTTGATATCGTCAGAACAAAGTTCTCCGAAGTCACAAGTGTCGTGTAAGCATACGTGTACATTTATCGAACAGTCGTCAATATTTAGGGAATTGATTGACATGCTGTACTTGCAAAGCCGAAGCACTAAAAATTCCTTTCAAGTAAAGATATTTTGTACGCTTTAATAGCAGATTACGTAATTTCGCGTTGTTACGAATGATTAACGCCTATTGGAATAAGCGTAAATTTTAACTTCATTTTCGACTTTGTTTACTCGCGCGAAATATTAAAGATATTTTTAAAAATTCATTAAATTTAACCCATTATTATTGTCTATTAATAAAGCAATATTTGGAACGCATCGTACATGATATATCGCTCTAATAAATTTAAAATTGAAAGTATGAACGCTCTAGGCTGGTAACATTGTTTTGAAACCATCCATCCTATTGAAGGACTTACATCACAGTAGACCTTGTGCTTATTATTTACAAAACAACACTCCAGCTCCACATTATATTATAGATTGTGCAAAAAATCGGGCTGTGACGATTCAGCCAAGCCATACAGATAGGCGTACCGTAAGGAGTTAAAAGTAGACGGCGAAAAAGAGTAAAACAAGATTGAATAAGCTTACATTTTTCGAACGACTATCGACTGCAGAGTGCTCGACTGGCATGCGATACCATGAATCACTTCGCTCTTGAGTCAAGAATAAAAGAGGCTCGGAAAAACTCAGTGGCATCGTCTAGAAAAAAAGCAACGCGTTAGTGACGCAAGTCAGCCAACATACCTTCTCTGTCCTTTTGCTTCCGTAATTCGAGAGCGTTTCCAGTCTTATTTCTCGCGAACTTCTTACAAACTCGAAAATTTAAATCTAAGTTCGATTAATAAATTACAATAATTTACTTAACAATAAATTATTTAATTACTGCAGTTATTAATTGAAGATTTAATTATTCGTTTTTCACTCCATTCCTTCTCTTTAAATAAAAAAAAAATACATTTGATCAAAACTATTATTGATCGTGATGAGTAACTGAAATCAGCATGAGTCAGCAAAAAATTTTCTTGTTGCTTTAATGCAAATATGTAAGTTGTCTCTTGAAATATACGTTCAAATGATCGTGCGATCAGCAAACAGAGAAACACAGTCTTACACCTCGAGCTTATTCATCGTGCTTTAATACACATAATAAATTAATTCATGCTTATCTCTCAACCGTAATAAATTCAATTGCTTATCTGATATCACTGGTAATTTCCTTACCATTACAGATGTCGCAATAATATATCTATAAATTATTCTTAATAAAACGAAAAATGTTGTAATATAACATTTTTTTAAAAACAAACTTTGAAGACTGGAAGTTTAAGTAAATAAAAAAGATCCTATTATCCAACAATCCAACATCTCTTTGAAGTTTTGCGTAGTTACTATAATTATAGAATCGTTAAAATTCTATCTATCTTATCTGACTATCAATTTAAGTTTCTCCTGAATCAATTATTTACAATTGGCCAAATTGTACGTATACGTAAATCCTCGATTCATTGCAGTAATGAAATGAAAAACTAAAGTGTAAATTTTTTAATTTATCTAAAAATAATTTCTCTTTAAATTCAACTAACTATATTATGTTTTCTTATATATCATATTGTTGGTATAATTTAATGAGGTAAAGCAAATTAGAGTTTTACAAAGTCAGATTTGGGCAAAATGCTTGTCATAGGTCAATAAAAAATTCCACTTACGCCTATGCAAATTATTGCTGTAACGGACCGCGAATACGTCCTGGTACCTCCTACCTGGTAGTCTACTACCTGTTTCTTAGTCAAGTCCTTATCCAGTTTGCGGGGAGACAGAGACTGGCCTGTTCACATCTCACCGGCACGGAGAGCCATCACGTAGCTCTTGATACGAGTCAATTTAATTTCACGGAATATGTAGGCCGCATGATCGTATATCTTGCGATCGTGGGAATCTCAGGCAACTCAATGCGTATGTGGGATTCCGTCCACGTAACAGGAAAGCAATTAAGTTCCGGTTTATATGACTGCACTCTAAAACCGAGACAATCAGTGTGCCTAAAGCCGGCAAAACGAGACGATAGATAGCTTATTGAAAAAGTGACTTGGTGATCTCGAAGAAACAGTTCAGCCTAAAGAAATGTACGTGAGCCTATACGATAAGTAGTTAGCAAACTACAATCATTCAAACTGATTCTCAAACGTCAAATTATGTGAAGAATTGCATTCGGAGTGATACTTGCTGATAACATTGTGCGTCGTATTGTATCTCTATCAGAAGAGCTGCTGTGTTTTGCAACAGAGGTTTATTATCAAAGTGCAGTTGAACAGTGCGAACGTCTATACGAAGAACAATTTTCGTCATATTACCACGTTTAACAGCATTTCAAACAGCACTTTTTCGTATTATCTTAATTTTTTCCTCTTTACTTAATTTTTTAATATACTTAAAGTGAATTTTTGAAATGACGGGTCTAAAATTACATTGTCCTCCAAACTGGAATTGCAAGGGTTAAAGCTCAAGTGGTGGTTAAAAATAAAAGTCGAGAGTAGCAGTAAGCGACGAGAATATTTCTCGCTCGACTACGAAGTGTGGTTCCTCTTGTGTGAATTTTTATTCGAAGACGTCTTGTGTTTTGATGAAGGACTAAAACAATGGCGCACTTTGAAAAATTGGACGAGAAGCATCCTTACTATGCAATCGCCGCTGTACGAATGTCACAAAAGCCTGAAACGAGAGAACTGACTGTCGCGAGAGTCTATTGGAAATTTGCTGCATTCAATTTCATTAATAAAAGGTGAAACAACATGTTTCATGAATATGTATGTATGTGTATGCGTATATGTTGTTTATTTGGTACGAGCTTCGTAGTGAATGTAATATTACACCGGCGTAGAGGTATTGGGCACTACGTGATGCTTTATATACTTTTAAACCTTAATTAATTTGCGCACTATAATATGTAGGACACCGCCTAAATATTTTGTTAATGCGCTGAATAAATATTTAGTTTTAAGCACATATAATAATGTACTTATTTTTGTATGCGTCTTTTAAGCGTATCTGATTATTTTTAATACACGGATATCTTACACTTCGATATATTTTAATATGAAAGAAATTTTTTTTTAATATTCACCTGACATGTATAATTTTATAGTAGAGATGTTAAAAAAAAACGTTATTAAATCCGTTATTAATCTAAAATAACATGTGCTCTTAGGATACAAGAATCAGATGGAGGCTTCTTCGAAAATCTTGGCACTCTACTCGCAGAAAGAGTTCGCGCACAAGAACAGGCGGAGGGTCCGCTCCCTAAAAAGAGGGATGAAACGCAAGAAGAGGAGGACACTTTGAGTGAAGAAGGCAGCATTGACGAGCCGACCGAGGCCTTGCTAGAAACCGACAGCGATAGAGACGAAAATGAGCATGCCCGAAATTTCGTAGCCGAGTCGATGGGATTAAACGTGAGTGGCTGAATTTTTACATTGTCATCATTTTAAATCATTATTATTCTAATGCGATATCTCTAATATATAACCAGTTTTGTAATTGGAAAAATAGGAAATCTCTTTTTCTTAGAAACAATATTATCTTGTTTCTTGTTGAGGTTTTAATTCGAAATAGTTCGTTTCATCGCACAGTTCAACATATTAACGACCACTTCCGATGAGAGAATGAATTCTCACACGTTAACAGCACATAGAGTGTTGCCTGAAAATACTTCGAGTAGTTTCATACCGCATCGTCTACGTCAATAGATAAGGGGTGGTCTGTTCAAGATCGAAATAGAACCATGTACAATTCGGAAGAACCTTAAATAACGCGTTTCACTTACACCGCACATAATTCGAAACAGATTCGCCGACATGGGAGACTGCCTTCGGCTGATAATTGAATTAACCCTCTTAAAGCGAAATTATTTCGCTTAAAGCGAAAGAAGAAATTTATTTCACCGACACGTTCGCAATCTGTATTTAAGACATATAAACGACTGGAAGGATGTGTTAAAAATTATTTGTTATTAACTAACAAAAAAATTCACTGTTAAAAATAGTGATGTACAAACAGAAATCAGAAATCAGAACTTGATATTTGAATTATTAAGTCTAAAAGATAATGATCGTTTCTTTTTATCAAAGTTATAAATATGGATCAAATAATTGTTTTAGTAAACCAGCCATACGCGATTCTTGTAAAATTTATTTCTCGGAAGCCTTGCAGCATAATAATAATCCTTGCTGTTACGATTGATATTTATAATTCATGCTCCTGCTCGCCGGGAAACTCCGTATTTTCTATATATTGCCGCATGTCCTGCCACGTGATGGTAACGGTAGTGATATTGATTTTTCTAAAGGTCTCAGGCCGATGCGAAGGGTAGTCGAAGTTAGACGTTCCCCTGCGTTGCCTCTCGTAACACTGCCATGTTTCCCTTCGACGATTTTAATTTTATCGTTGAGTTTGTTCCTTTCAATATGAGATAATGCGGTTGAAATTTGACGAACCACTTTTTTCTAAAAGCGAAGAAAAATGCGTAAGTTTGAGATTAATTAAGCGTTTTGCTGGCACGTCAACTCGCACAATATCCTATCTTGAACCTGCATATTGATTGAGCACATATGGTTATATCCAACTTGCACGAAAGTATTGTAGAGTATTTTCTTATTTGCAATCTACGACCTCTCGTAAACAATTTAATTGCGAAAAACTCATTACCACAATCAATATATTCCTTCATTAGTTCCCATAATTTATTTCTCGTATAATCTCATGCCCGATAAAGTGTCCCAATAAATTTATATTAATTCAAGAATCAGTCGTTCATTCGAGAAGTTTAAAGCTGAACTTTGATTCAAAACGATCGTCGTCGCATTAAAACATCCGCGCTACACATTTCACGTCGTTGCAATAAAATATTTTAATACAATCAAGAGAGATAAAAAATCATGAAATTTATGAACGTGTGTTATTAAAAGAACATAAACAAAACAATTAAATAGATTGTAAAAGAAATCGACTCATGAAACGGTTTCACTTTGAAATCCTCTTTATGTCGCGTATGATTCACGTATCGTGTACGATCATAGTTTGTCCATCTGAAACGTGGACAATACGGTATAATTATCGCCCGCATATACACCCTCCGTACGTCGGGGTGTTATACTCTACGCTCAATCGAGCAGTTAAACTCAATCTGAAATGAGATCCACGTGTTCGTGCGTTAGCAAATGTACAACGTAACACTACTACGAACGAGTCATCTACGACGACTCTGATCCGTCGGCCCATCTATTCCTGGCAGTGTAGTGCTCGCCTCCGTCAAGCTCCTGTCTTGTCGTCTTACGCTAGTTATCCTGATCACTTTCTCTAGTTTCATCGCTAATTGCTACTCAACCGACTGATTTGTCAGTCGGATATTCTTGCAATGCACCTGCGACAGGTGGCCCCGAGACGATAAATCGCGTTGTACTTCTTCACGTATCTCCACATACGTTTAACGAATCGTCAGCTGATTGGCAAACTTTCCTCATCGGTTTGTTTGAAATTTTCGGTTGAAATATATGAGAAGCTCTTTGGTGAGTTACGCAAGAAATGTGTGTTCCGAGTACATAGTTAGAAATGTGTACATAGTTTGGTGAAATAGAGTTTGACCTGTCATGTGTTGTGATTCTGTGACCACTGAATGTGAATTCACCTGTGAATGTGAATCGCTAGCGCGGTTACAAATGTAACTGAATCAATCCTATTGACGACATTTCTAGCGTTTCTTCGTTATAATAATATTTAACAAATAAAAATGAATATGAAGTTTATCAACATTATTGATCAATGTATACCAAGCTGGATGATTAAAATTAAATTGTAATAGGCAAATGTTTGACAAAAATTGAGATAAAATATTCTGTGCGAAAAATAAAAGAAAGAATTAAGTGATGCTGATACAATAATAACGCATAATTCGTATATATTCAATATATGTATATATATAATATTTATAACGTAGACACAATTTTCTTAGAATTCACTCAACCTGACGCAGTCGAGAATTATGCAGTTCGATTTTCGATATCCGCTAAGTCATAAAAATAAGTTGTTAGTTGGAAAACTGGGTTAAGTCACTTTCTTCTGCTTCGTCCAATAGCCTCTCGAAAAACTGGCAAATTGTCAGAGACTTAGTTTAAAAACGTATCGAATCGTCACGAATGGTAATGTCACGCGCTTTCAACGACCGCAGCCAAACTATATTTAAAGACCGCTGCAGCTTGTAGTAATCGATTACTCTATACAATTGAAATAATTATTAACGTTGTCTAATATTCATATGAGTTCTTGATCTTCTTACAGACAGTAATTTTACAGATGTCATTGTCTCCCGTTATTATATAACGTATATATAAACACCTATTCTCTCATGTATCTTCTTTACATGAAGTACTTTTGGATTATTAAGATTATTAAATCCTTTGTCAGAGTAATTAAGTGTTAAATGAAGGTGTTAAATTCCTCGTCCGATATGAATCGGATGTATTCTTTATAACACATCTGTCCATCTGTACATCTGTGAGGACTTTATAAATCATGACAAGCCATAAATCATATAGCTATATTGATACGACAAGAAGAGATAATCGTTATGACGTCGTGCTAAACACCAAATAAACGGCATATTTCTTAAACGGACTCATCCTCGTCGAAAAATAGAATCGGTATTAGAGTAGGCGTAGAATGTTGGACCAGCTTGAAATTGCATAATTCAATGAAAATTAGTCCAAGACTGGATACGAAGGACAAAAACGTGTTCATGTATTCACACATCCCGTTTATCATACAACGGGTGTCTCGATGCGCCTTGGTGGCCAATGAGCTAATTGCCGGTATATCAACTTTCATTGGACGCAATTGTACGAACGTATGAACGCATTGTGGTTGCACTTGTCTCATGGGTCACTCTAAACGGGATATAACACAGTTCTGTTCTGTCCAGATTCGCCGCTGGTTTCTACGCTTTTTCAAACAATTAATTATGATACGCCAAAGTCTCATAATACGCATTTCGTTACATACAAAAAGAAAAATACTACCGCAAAAACAGACTCGTGATGTAATAGAAAATAGTTGAGTTACACAAAAAAATAGTTGAGCACACAAGAATAGTTGAACATACAAAAAATAACACAATAGAATAACACAATAAAATAATATACTATTGTTAAGAAACGCTATTGCTCACTTTCCTTTTTTTGAAGTAATGATTATCTTCAGCAAAGAATATTCTCTTGATGATATAATATATATCTTAAAATATACTAATCACAAATCTTAAAAAAAACTTGTTATTATGTGTTTAGAAGAAGAATCTGCTCTCTTTACAAGAATACGATTAAATTTTTTATCAAAAAAAAGTTGGTTCAATTTTATGTAAACACTGAATTCACATTCAGTAAACAAACCGAATTTTTGTTTTTATTTAATATTTTCGATTGAGATGTTAAATTGACTAGGATATAGAAAATATTTTGAGTAAACTTAATGATAAACCTATGATATGAGATTTGCGGATGTATAAACTTATAAAATATTTGAAACAAATAACATTTACTTGAATACAGTATGTATTTTTTTGTATGCGTTAATACATGTTAAACATTTCGTAATTTTGGTGTGTTTTGTTCGCTTGAAGGAAAACGACGCTTCAACAGTATTATCTCAAACTGTGGAATGTGATACAAACCGAATATCACTGTCAGAGTCAATTGCACTTGCCAACTCTGTTTGCCAGCGGACATTGATACCGAAGGTTATGTCCTAATTCTGATCTTATCATATGCACAAACATTGACTTTGTAACCTTTACTAGAAATTAAAAAAGTCCTTGTAACTGACGGAATATGCAAAATGTAAAAAAAAAAATATCACGTTACTCATTTCAACAAAATACATAAGTAGTAAGTCACTAATCAATTTTTAATCATTTGTACACATTTAATAATTATCCCAAGAAAGAAGTTTTTTTATGTTTTTGCATAAATTATGTAAAAGCAAAATCACATATTGATTATAATTACAACAAGAACTTTACCAATGACCATAATCTTATTCCGGTTATTTCTGGTCAGTTAGTATAATAGTGCACGCTTATGTCATAATCGTTGATAGCAGATAATTTCACAGTGTTACGATTTATGCGTGATACGATCGACAGCGGCTGTCGATTATGCATACGCGCTATCGAATATGCGACGAGTCGACGCGTCGTCGATAAGAAAGGTCGTGGCCATTGTAGGAGTTCATCGTTGATCGACAAAGTTCGTTTAATGCAGTGATAAAATTCGTCGATCGCGTGCACGACGATCTCTCTTTCTCTGTTTTTGTCGTTGGTGTCATCACTGGATGTAAAACGCGTTCGGAAAAAATAATCTCCTGCAAAAGCAGTAATCTCAACTGCTGTCCATCGGGAGTAATCCGTCGAAGTCATCCGCGCAATTCTTTGTCCTCACGCGAATGTAGCAGTGCGAACAAGTTCGACGTGTGCTTAAGACCCGGACTGTTGGTGCGTGAACGTCATTGTTCGTTGTTAACAACACGATCTTCTGTATTACGCCTTCGCAGGTCATTGTCGTACTGCTCTAGATTCCTTTTCCCTAGATCTATTGTCCGTTATCGTTGCTGAGACTTGTGGCGAATCACTTGAGTAAAGTGTCAGAGTGACGCGGAAAACAATTCCATTCGGTTTAATTGTGATATGTGATGAAAACTGTGTCAAACGTAAATAGCGCGCATCGCGAGAAAACTGTAGAAAAACTGGAAACTTCAAAATATGCGCGGCGTAATTGCGTGACGATCTGGCGTGACATTCGTGAGCATCGCTCGAGTTTGGGAGTGAATGAGACTGTATATAGGAACTGTATGAGACTAAACATGGTGAGCACAAATTCGCCCGTAGGGGCGGCCACCCTCAATCGAATGAGGAATACGTTTTGCGGAATTCCGAAAGCCGAAATTGAACGTAGGAATATTGCACTCCTTCAAGCCATGACGGTGAGTTCAGCTGGCGATTATCTCAAATGTTCACGATTACGCGAGCGATTAATAAAATACATAGAAAATATATAAAATAGTTTATAAACAGTTCCCCCATAATACAGTTGATGAATGCCATTTCTACGGAAAGTATGGTTAGTCAGTTATGGATTTTAATGTTTATTTTCTTTCTTATTTAGTTTAGCCTGTTAGCACTTTTTACTTTTTAAGTTTACTTGTTTAGTTTATTGATTTCTTTGTTCTTTTAATTCCCGTAGTTAAGATATATAAGTGGAGACATATCTTATTTGCATATTAGGACACTTGAATATTTTGATTGAAGACTTTGTACGCTGACTCAACGTTCTCAACAGAGTTTTAAAAACAACAGTATTGTCTTATATTATCGACAAATTGTATTGTCATGCAATTAATTGGCAAAAATGCCATTAAAAGCATTATCGTAGACACAACAAACCGACATACGTAAAATATTAATAAGTTAATATTAACTATCAATTGATAAAATTTATCATAATATTGTGTACGTACTTGTGCAATTACTTCGCAATTAATATCACACTTGATATTCTATTTATAGATAGAGGAACTTTATACCGCGCTAGTGCGTATGGCCCAACACCAAATTGGCTTCGATGTGACCAATGAGTGTAGTCAGGAAACTCTTCTGAATCATTTACAAAGTGCTTTCAAAGTCGACAACGAAACACACGAGAGAATATTGGAGGAAACGCAAAATCTCGAGGTGACCAACTCTATAATAATTTCGACGTTAGCTGACATAATTTTGTCGTACACATCTAAACAATTTGTTATTCACATTTAGCCACCCGAATTGCACCTCAACGTTGAAGTGATCGAAGCCAAAGAACTAGTCTCCAAAGATTCTAATGGTAAAAGCGATCCCTTCTGTGCTCTTTATCTCGAATCGGCGCCAACTAGAAGGTACAACACCGCAGTAAAAACGTGCACTCTCAGTCCAATCTGGGAAGAGCACTTCGAATTGTAAGTGAGACTATCACTTCTTTTTTATGTGTGAAAGAGCTAAGATCTACTATAATTTTAATATGTGGCATTAAATTCGCTTCGAATTTCGCAACAGTCCTAAAATTTGTCAAAAGAGCTACTTTACGATTTTATTTATGCATATAATTAATAATTATTTATAATTTTCATTATTATTTATCATTTAGGCCATTGGAAGATCCTGAAAACGACGTTTTGTGCCTCGAAGTATGGTAAGAGACACTTGACTTATAGTATATATAATATGATTTAGGAACTGTACCGTAACACACATGACGTATTTTAGGGATTTTGACGCAGCTGAAACTGTTCCCGAAAAAATGAGTAAAGTTAAGGATGTAAAGGGTGTTCGTGGCTTGTTCAAATTAGCCAAGGAAATTGCAGTGACAGCTACAACTGGTAGTCATGACAATGAATTCATTGGCCAATGTAAGATACCGTTAAAGGTAAAATATTGATTGTAATTTTTAATTTAGAAATGTTTCCAATATGTTTGCGACTCATAAAATATATTTCTACTAATTATTTATTTGCAGGATATACCAACGACAGGGCATACTAGTTGGTACGCTCTCGAGAAGAAGAACAAAACCAAACGCCGAGGCGTCGTAAAGCTTCGATTAGCCTTCAGTGCGGAACATAACGCGCAAGTGGCTGCACAAGAACATCGACACTTGCTGAGAGTGTTGTTACTTCACGAAATTGAAACGGAAAAGATCGAGAAGTACTGTTGGTCTGGCCGTTGGTCGGGACCAGCCGAAGCTCTCATTCTTCAACACAGCGCACAACGCGGCTTACTAGCCAGAAATCTCGCTCTGGCGCAGTGGGTCGAATATGCTAGAATTCACCAGGAGCATCCGCTGAGTTTCACGGTTTTTAATAAAATCGCGGTCGACTTGCTCAGGCCGATGGACAGCGGACTGTTCTCCGCTGACGAAATCAGACTCTTCTGGGATGCCACCAAAAAAGTTCTGTATTCATGCTTAAATAGTGTACGAAAAATTCGAAGACTGATCCTGGGGGACAGGAACGCTATAATGCAGTTATCCGCTATTTTAGGGTAATTTTCCACGCTATTGCCATTTTAAAGAACCGTATAGTATCATAATTGATAATTCATAACTGATACTTATATTGATTAACAGTACCAAATTTATAATTGGTATTAATGCTTCATTCTCTATTGAATATCTTAGGATAATATCATCTATATCTTCTCTAAAAGTTCCCGAGGACACTGACCTCTTTCCGGCCAAGATGTACTCTTGGTTTCCGGAACCTGATGGTTCCAAGATAGACGTACTTCAAAGTCTAGAATACACGGTTACACAAGGCTGCGCCGAATGGTAGGCAAAGGGAAACTCATAAATTTAATAGACCTTAATTTCTTCAGTAACCTTGACATGTCCGTTTTGATCTGTTGAAGGTTCGAGCATATACTAAACAATAATTCACCTGAAACTGAATCGGACGAGGACGCGCTTAGATATCATAATAAAGTGATTCAACTAGTTAGAGCAGATTTACAAAAGGCCATTGATAATTATGACAAGCTATTTATAAAGTGAGTTGATCTACCTTGAAAAAGACACATCGAAGATAGTTACACATATATTTAATGAAACATGTTAAATTATACTATTATTATATTAGGAAAGTCAATATTCCGTACGCAAGATTGCTGTACATTGCATATGAGAAAAGAATCAGCGATATGTGCATGATCGTCATAGAAGATGTGTGCGCTAGATTGAAGCGAATCGAAATTGACAGTACTGCTGATGCGGAGTTAAGCTTGGGCACAACATTGTTCGAGCTTTATCTTACACTTCAAAGATATGCAATGTAAATTACAATCCCGTAAAGTCAAAATATCTTTGAAAGCGACTCGATTGCCTAACGATAAATATTTTATTTATAGACTCGGTCAAGTACTTTGCGCTGAAGGGCAGCTACAGGACATGAAAATACAAAGTTACTATGATTGGTTCCGAGGCAGTGTTGGACATTGGTTGGACATTGCAGTATACAAAGCGCTCAAACGTATCGACAGAGCCGTCGAATTTGATACTTTGCAAGCGGTTGACAATAGCGTGCAATATAGCTCGAGTGCTGTAGATACGTTAACTATCTTCTATCAGATCAAAGTATTTTGGACTCAGCTAGCTTGGCCCGATATTGAAGGATCGTATACGTTCATAGCAAAAATCATTGACGTGAGTTCACGAATTTTTTCATAACATTATCTCGATAAGACTACAACCTGTTTTTTAAGTAATTTATAATTAAATAAATCTGCTCTGCAGGACATTTGTAAATGTTCCATCGCATACGCCGACAAGATGGCGAATAAGGCGGAAATAACAACGGAATTAGAACAACTCTCGCAAAGTAGCGTTTACGAGAAGAAGTTTACGATATCGACAGCTTGGTGCTTCGCCATTAATAACATCGATTATATCAGAACGTCAATCGCACCGTTGGCCAACGATCTAGGACTGCAAAATATTGTAAAAGCTCTAGGAGAAATTAGGACACAAAATGAGGCCGATCGTTGTCGGCAGACTCTTCAGCTTATCATTGACAATGCTGCTGATACTGTGAGGAATAAGATCATAGAGTTGTTGGAAGTCGTAGCTAATAAAATGGCCCCAGCGATGAGCAGGTAAACAGAACACGAAGCAAAATTTGTGGTTTTTAATAAAATGATAATTTTTGTTAATTAATAATGAACACAAATCATTATCTTTTACTTAATGATATCTTGAACTACTGAGAAATTAACTTGCGCTTCCAGATATCTCATGGAGGGCGCCGAATTAATCGATACAACCAGCAACGCGATGGATCGTCTGCTGCAGTATTTAGACAGCAATCTAACCACTTTGCATGATAATCTCAACGAGGATAACTTTAATAGAGTTCTCCTGGTGATTTGGGAAATCATGTCGCAGACGCTGTATGAGCTAGTCAATAATAATTTAGAGGTATTCACGGGAAATACGAGCGCATTTTCCCTTTCCCGTAAAGAGCTTCAGTTTTCTAATAAAATAATTTTTTTTATAACAGAAACGACGACCGCCAGCATTTTATTCCAATTTACATCGCACCCTTCATACACTCATACGATTCTTCAACTTCGGTGCCGATGAGACCGTGAACGTCCAAGTTTTGGAAAAAATTGAAAATCTCTTAAAATTGCACGGTCTTGAAACCGCCGAACTTATACATCGTTATCATCAAGAGCGTATCGAGGAGCAGAACGAAATAGAGGAACCTGTGTACGGTCTCATCACCATCAAGGCTTATTTCATCGATAATTCTTTGAACATACAAGTTCTGAATGCCAGGAATCTCCGCTGTACAGATAATAATGGTAAGCGGGATAACACATTTCTACAAAGAAATGTACACCTATGCGACAGTACAAAACTAGCATTTGCAAAAACTACGTTATTTCAAACAAAGAGCCAGAATTGTTTCGGTTAAACACAAACTTACTTTTGTAGTTACGAAGAGAAAATGAATAATAAATAGAATATCCGATGATATACAAACGGGAGTTAAATAATCTTAAGTAAACTCGCAGTTTGCAAGCTGAATGTGATAGCCAATTCGCTGGAGTAAATCTATGGGTTTCTCTTTTGCTAACGAGAATAAATTAAAATTTTAGGGACCTCGATATATTCGGTTATCGTTGGTGTAAATGATCGCGGAATCAAAAAGGAGGAATGATATTTTTTTTCTCGATTTTGTAGGCAATTTTATAGGCAAGCTGTCTACTCTCGAGCGTAAACTGCACTCAAAATCTAAACAAAGATTGAAAGAAGGGAAGACAAGTATGTAAGAGCAAATGTAAAGTCCTTCCTCATCATTATTATACGATTCTCTATCAAATTGCCTGCCCTCGCGGAAACAGCATTTTGAAGATGCATGACACGAATTTGCATTGACAATTTCGTACAAGTAGCAAAATAGTTCTTAGAGAATGTAATGGTCTTCCTGGTCTTCTAAAGAATGGAATATTGGCACTGAGTATTGTTTACGTCGATTAGTTTATAATCTTATTTATGAGGTTCTCTAAAGTTATTAGCGAGTGAATTTTACACGTCGCGAATAGTCGAAAGAGACTGGCGCCGTGTGATTAAACTAAAGTTTCCTTTAAAGTATCTCATCGATAAGAATAGATTGCGCCGTCAGTGATAATCACCTTCACCGTGCATGAATAGTCTCACACTGGGTTTCTCCGCATACCAGAACGCGTTATATAAGATATAGTTTTACTATGTTTGTTTTTCAGGCAAATGCGATTCCTACGTAAAGATCAGGCTACTGCCTGAAGAAAAATTCACCGAAATCAAGCTGCCGAAGACGCACGTGCAGAAAGAAACGCTATTCCCTCTTTTTGATCAAACATTCAACATGTTAGTAACAATTTGATCATTGTTATTGTTAAATTACTTTATATAAATAGTAAAAATGAAATGTGGAGTATCAAATATTTATAAGAATTTTGACGTTTCCAGTCCTCTCACTCCGGAACAAAGAGCAATAGAGGACGCTATAGTGTCGTTTGAAGTCAAGGACAAGGATTTCCTTCGAGCGAGATTCATGGCTGAAGCTTTCCTATCATTTAGTGAGATTCCTGATACTGAACCAGAAAATGGCTTTGAAAGCTTAGAACAAGTTCACTTAAAACTTTCCCGTCCAACCAAAAAGAGTATGTATAGTATAATTATGCTAAATAATTAATAAGCTTTTATTTAATTGTATTTCTAGAACAACATCAGTTTATAGTTTATAATGATTAAATTATTTTTAATTTTGATAACGGTAATGAAGCTACACTCGATTTGTTCAACTTGAGGTAACAGGTTTGACGAATGTTGTTTGCATTTGTTATGTATTAATTCCATACTAATTTTCTATTAAATACGTATATATATATATAAATTCTTGTTCAAGGTACAGACGTAATTCACGCATTAGAGCATCGTAAAGGAGACAATCAGGCGACAGACTTTATTTCAAGACTTAATACCAAAGCAAACTCCAAATGACCTATATGCAACTTCGACGTGGACCTACGTTTCAATAATTTTCGAAAATATGCAATACAAAATATGTTCAAATTCAAGCAATTCGGATTATATAAAGCGTTTCAAAGTTAATACACCAGCACTGCCTTGCAAGGAGCCGCTGTGAATATTTTCTTAACGAAAGTGCTTTAGAGCTGTCGCGCTGTCATAAACTTCATAGTGTAATGCTCGCGAGTGTTTAAGGCTGTGTACAGTTTGAATTGTTTTTTATACTTCCGAGAGAATTACATAATGTATACCGCATTTCGAAACTTTAAACGGAAAACTCTAAGGCTGAGTAAGTGCTACTTATAAGCGATATACTTGTATTTATTGTAGATAGAAGTTGAGTAGCTATATTATACTCTTAGATATATTTTTGACAAACTTATACTGCGATATAATGCAAGTTTATATTGTATACGTGTACCTAATATTATTATGTTCGACGAGTAGAACATATGTACATAGATCCTAATAATATTAGAGTGACAAAATAACAGTCGATGTAATTAATCTGTCATCAGTATTGTTAAATATTTTTTATTAAACTAAGCAAATTTTAAAAAATGTTTAACAAATTTATCACTACTATAAAAGTAATATTGAATTTTATTTTTATACTTTTTATATATTTTATAAATTTACAACTTTATAAAAAATATATATCTAGTTATTTTAAATGTCTCATCTTTAGATCGCAATGTATATATAAATTCCACTTCTTGTTCTTAAAATGTTTCTTGAAATAAAGATATTAACATTCCTTAAACGGGATTTAGTAATAAATAACGCAATTTCTCTTGATTATATCAAGAATATTAATAAAAAAATATTTTAGGTGTTACTTAATGATCGACAGTAGGAAAAAACATTCCTAGAAACAAATTACAGCAGCATCTATCGGGCAATATGATTTACTTCAAAGTTTATCCAGAGAGAAGCCTGAGAGCGGCCACCTATTTGATTTTAGCGGCTAAGGTACCTATTATGGGCTTTTTCGGAATCAATTCCGATCGGAAACATTCAGTTATTTCCTAGATTTCTATTGTCTTTTCTAGGGAAAACGGAATTATTTTGATCAGAATTAATTTCGAAGAAGTCCATAACCCAGACAGCACAAAATCTTCAGAGAATGTTCTGAGGGTGCGTTCCGTTTCCACGCATGATGCGTATGAAACGCAGCGTTAGAGTGACAGAGATACGAGAATGAGATAAAAAGAGAGGGAGAGCTCTCGGGTGAGGTTGTCGAACCTAGGTTAGGTTGGTTCTCGAACGCATGAGATCGCATGGACTGTACTACCTCGGAGCTGAGACAGTTCATGCGTTCGATAACTAACCTAACCTAGGTTCGAGAACCTCACCCGAGTGCTCTCCCTCTCATTTTATCTTACTTTCGTATTTCTGTCACTCTAACGCTGCGCTTCATGCGCATTATGCGTGGAAACGGAACGCACTCTGAGACATTCCTAGAATATATGAATGTCCTTAGAACATCCTTAGAACATTCTTTGAAGATTTGTGCTGTATAGGAATAGGTACCCAGAGCTAGGCGTATTTTCGAGACGCCATCTAACAAAATGCGCCTTTACTACGTTCGTTAGGTGCATTTTCGCGGTGGTAACGATAAAATGCGCCTGGTTCGTGCCCGTTATACTTCCGTACAATGATAGTAAGTTAGAAAAAGACAGACGTCCAATCGCTCTGTTCTTGTCTCACCACTGATAAGCGGACCATGCGACGTAGTCACGAAGCGAGCTGTGGCGAACTTATCGCAAAGCTAGATCATCTTTCATCAATCTCATCTTTCTCGCGCTGCGTTATGCGTAATTTTGTAAGGAAAAAGGATTTGAAAACTGGACAATATGAAACAATAAATAAATATACAAGTTTAAACATACCGCTCATATTTTTCTTATTTCTCGGCAACCATAAAAAATATCGATGTGATTCAAAGAAAACAATGTTCTTTATAATTTGTCCTGTTGGAATTCAGAGTTTACAATAAGCGCAGGATATGCGTAGAATAGGCGCCACTGCTCATGCGCGAAAATCCGAATATAAAGCTACAATGGATCTAACATTATGGGTGCTACTTTGGGATACTGAAAAATTATTTTCACGATTCTTGGAGTGATACTCAGAATATTAGTTACTGAACAAACCGGCAATTAACTAACAGTCACGATTCACGCTTACTGAGAAACGATGCATTAGATCGAAAAAGTCTAATTCTCTAGATACCGGAAGTGTAAAGGCATTTATGAATCCTAATTTACATCGGTAAATAAAGATAACGTTTTCTGCGTTTTGAATCGTTTTAATCATTTCTACGTTATCGACGCTTAGCAAGTTTGTGTCCATTCCAGCATGCCCTTAAACCGGGATTCGAACCGAGGTGTTTCGAACACTGAAATATATGCTACCTGGAACGCGCGCTGCCTCTTGAGGCATGCGGGATGAGAGAGAGGTTGCTTGTTTCCTCTCTTATCTTTGTCTGGTTCATAATATAGTCGAGAGTAGGGAGAATGTGATACAACCCAAGTTAAAAGTTAGAGATAATATAAAAACCAGTGACCACTGAATGGCAATGACTTAAACTTATAAATGAAAGTTTTAGGATATAAAAAAATATATACAGATACAGTTTTTCTCATTTATTAGTATTCACTTATCAACTTATTAAGAAAAACAAAGCAAAGATTCCTATTCGGTTCCTATTCGGAGATTCAGCTTATCAGCCGACTTAGCTTCTTGTTCAGACTGTACTAGACAAAGATAGAGCACTGTTCGAGATCTACAAGCATGCTTTCTCTCATCCCGCAACACTCAAGAGGTAGCACGCGTTCCAAGTAATATATATTTCAGTGATTTCGAGTCTCCGCTAAACTAATAGGCCGAGTTTCGAACCGAGGTGTTTCGAGTCTCCGCTAAACTAATAAACCGGGATTCAAACTGAGGTGTTTCGAGTATTATTCATGTATCAGATATTATTCATATTATTATAACCTACTAATTCCAATAAAATGAATTGTGGAGCAGACAGTGCCCTTTGTGTCACCTTGCCCACACAGCAGAGATATCCAAAATATATCATAGAGACATCCTAAAGATATATTTGGAATATGTGATATCTTCAAGATATCCCTATGATGTATTTGGGACACTTCTGCTGTATGGGTTGATATCTTTAGTGGTTGTCGAAAAATGCGCGAAAAATGCAATCGATAGTAAAAAGGCTGTCAGCGACATCGAAAAGTACGCACGCTTCCACGACTTATTTACGAACCGTTATTAATAGTAATATTATAGTATTATTAGTATTATTATAAACTCTGAATTCCAACAGGATAAATTGTGGAGAATTTTGTTTTCTTTGTATCATATCGATATCTTTTGTTGCTGAGAAATAAGCAAAAAATATGCGCAGCATGTTTAAGCTTGTATATTTATTTATTGTTTTATATTGTCCAGTTTCCAAATCTTTTTTCCTTACAAAATTACGCAGAACGTAGCGCGAGAAAGACTAGACTGATGAGAGATGATCTAGTTTTGCGATAATATCGTTGCAAGCTCGTTTCGTGCCTACGTCAAGCGGTCCGCAGTGATAAGACAAGAATAAAGCGATTAGACATCTGTCCTTTTCTAATTTATTATCATTGTACGAAGTACAACGGGCACGAATCAGACACATTTTATCGTTACCACCGCGAAAATGCACCTAACGAACGTAGTAAAAGCGCACTTTGTTAGATGGCGTCTCGAAAATGCGCCTACTCTGGCGCATTATGATATATAATAAAATTATATATGATCTTAGTAGTGTGTATGTTTTATAATTATGTTTTTAATAATAAAATATATATACAAAAATAAATTGATTCTAAAATAATATGTTCAAGAGGAGAAGATGGTTCGCTGTTTAGCGTATAGATGGCGACAGCATCCTCATAGAGTTACTTGGTATTTTAATAAGCTGACTTTTTATATATCAGAATGGCGATATTTGACAAACAAAGTTTAATAACTTTGATTGGGAAACAAAAACATAACATTCCAATATAATGAACTTTGAACACAGTTGCTTAATACTTTATGCGATTTATAACTGAAAAGGAGGACACAATTGTTTATTACAGCACATTAAATAATACATATGGCAATAATTAAAAATTTTAAGTATTTTCACGATGAATATTAATGTCGATTCTCTTTCTTTACCGTTTACTTTGACGCTACTCACGGATGGTTACAGTAACGGCTTCCAAATTTGCAATAAAACATGCCAACCAACTGCTCTTTAGTACACGGTCAGTTAAATTACAACCTCCTCCCGTTATAAATTTTACGACAGACTACAGAGGAATCTCTTTTTGGTAGAGCTTGGTAGAGCCCTGTACGTTTACGGCGTTACAAGAAACCGCGCAGTCTTTTAATCCCCAAAGCCGCATGCCGCTTGCGGCTGGACCACGAATCTGCTCTTGAGAAAACAACCACGTTTGTGATTGTATACCGGATGATGCTTCGTGGAATGGCACATAAATTTACGAGAAGGAAAGAAGAAAAATGCCGTAAAATACTAAATACGCTGAACACGTCTTAGTATGCGTTGAAATCCAAATGCAATAACAAATTATTTAATCAAATCGCAATACATTGTTTATACATTTCACGTTTACATTTGCTCAAAATTGTTAATATTTTTAATCGTTCGTAAAATCTTTGTTTTTATTCAGATCAAGACGCTTATAAAGTTACGCATTGAAGGTAAACTAGTTATGTCATTTTTAAGAAATACTACGCTACACTGAAAAAAACAATTGCGTTTCCGCGGTGGTTTAACGCTGTTGTTTGGTATTCATGAGTACGGTAATAGCACTGTTTATACTCAGCGTTCAACTAATGTGAATTGCGATCTTCGTAGCTTGATGCAATTATGATTTTATGAATAACTTATAAACAATTTTTTATTTTTTTTTTTTTTATAGAAACTCGATACGCAATTCGCAAACCAATTATTCCTATTGCGCTTCTCCTCAAATTTGCAACAGTAATAAAAGTTTAATTTGAAGTTTAATGCAAAAAGTATCTTTTGTTCAAAAGGCAAAAATATGGTTGGCCACGTTCTCTCATCTTATGTGTAACATTTCGCTTCACAACCGTGACATATTTTACACGAACTTTATGAGTTGCGATTAACCAGGCCACGCAATAATGTATATAGAGAATCCATAATTACCGAGAATACCGGGTCGATATGACAGCGCTGTGCAAGCCGGCTGATGATGACTATTGACCAATAACAATCGCACGCGGCCGAGTGCATGTGCAATTAAAACGATTTCAAAACGGCACGATGTGCGCGCGGCACTATTTGCGGAAGAGCCACTGAATTCGGATACATTTAACCCTTCAAATGGTAAGCCAAATTTCGCCACATGGGATACAAAAGGCGGTTTAAAATTCATATCATTGTTTTGTGCATTTCTATTTCACCCATTG